AAATAAAAAATAAAAGCTATTAATAACATGGCAAGAATACTTATAGCTTTTATTTGGCTCTAAATTCAAAGAGTTAAAAATATAAAGGGGGAAATATCTCTGGCTTTTGTGAAGATTTTATTTGAGTCCTAATTTCTGAATTTTTCTTTCTTGGCCTTGTATGTTTTTCCAAGATGACTTTAACTTAGAGCCAGAGTCTATGTGGACACCACTGATTTTAAACTTGAAGTTGCTTTTCAAAGACCACTGTAAAACAATATCTAATGAAAAATATTTTATAATGATATGCTAACAAGGAACACTTTCTTTTGTATCTTTCTCAGTCTCCAATATAATATTGTTGTTGTATTTATTCTGTGTCACTGCACTATGTGCATTACCTCTTTCTCACATTACCCACATTTGACACAGAATGAATACAACTGCATAATCAGAAACATGGGGGCATAAGCATCTGTTACAGAAATGGCCAGCAACTTGATGTTGCTAAAATGTAGGGAATGTTTGGGAAAGTGGTAGATAAGGAAGCTAAGTAGATAGAATGAATCTAAGTGCTACTTACTTAACAGATGAAACCAAGGCTCAGCAGGGTTAAATTGTCCCAAATCAAGTGAATGTTAGAATCAGGATTTGAATACAGGAGTACCTAATCCAAGGTTCATGCTCTTAATTTCCACATTATACTGCTTTTACATAATATACATAGTAAACTCCTTTTACTAAAATAAACATTATTTTCATGTAAAATGGAGTGTGATGGTGACAGTACACATTCTAAACAGTATTCCCATAATAACCATAAAATTCCCATAAATAACCAATATTTTATTTTAATATAACTTTTTCTAGTTAACTCAACTGCGATTGTGATAGACAAATTGGAAAATACAAATCAAAAAGGAAGGAAGCAAAATTACCTTTAGTTTTACCAACCGGATATAACCATTGCATGTATTTCTTGAAACACTTTTTCTATATACATATGTAATTAAACATGATAATAGATATAAATTTTTCTTTTAATATATCATGAACATATTTTCATATCAAAACATGGTTTTAACTATAATATAGTATTTGTAGCTGTACCATAATTTATTTAACCATTCTTTCATTACTAAACCATACTGTAGTGAACACCCATCTCTGTGCATATCTCCTTAAGAAAAAAATTTTGAAGTGAAATTGTGGGTTCGAAGATTTTATACATTTTTAAGACTTAAGCCTTGATGGGAAGAATCTACCAGTTTACATTTCCATTGAAATATTGAGAATGCTTAAATCCTCATCTCTAATATTTACTATAAAGTTTTTCTTCCTTCTATATAGAGATTTTGAATAACACGGTGACCAACTTACTTTGTTTTTTAGGAGATGATTTTTCTTTGATTCAACAAGAAATATTTATGGTTAAAGAATGTAAACACTGCAACATCGTTGCCTACTTTGGGAGTTATCTCAGGTAAAAAAAAAAAAAAAATGCATCTACTCTTTCTTTGTATTTTATATATTCCTTGCTGCCACTTTCCCTCCCTGTCATGTAAGTGCTATTATATCTGTATATTTTTACAGTTATGTTGTCTAAAGTTCTAAAATTTCTAGGGTTTTCTTACAATCTTCCCTGTTATATTAATAATGACATCTGCATTTATATAGTTATATCTTATCTGGCAACCTTAATGAAACATTATGAATGATTACTAGTTAAGTGTTTTAACTTATAAAACTGGTCACATTCTAAACCATTTAAGGCGAAACAAAGCTGAAAATGATGTGCTCTATGTATTGAGGAGAGGTTACATGGCAGTTTCCTGTTGTACTCTGCAATCATCCTACACTTTGGTGTGCTGGGAAGTTGAGAACCTTAGAGTATTTCAGTGATTGAGAATCACTAATGTAACTTTCTTTGTCTTTCATATTAGTCGGGAAAAACTGTGGATTTGTATGGAATACTGTGGTGGCGGATCACTTCAAGATATTTATCATGGTACTGTTAATTTGACTTTACATTTTAAAACAACTTTGACTTTAGTGATTGTTGTTTGACATTTCCAGTTAACCAGGTAGATTTACTGTTTTACATTCTTCTTTTCTGTTCCCAGAGTACTGCATAAAAGAAATCTAAATTTTATTTTTGTTGGTTATTCAATTAAATTTGCCTGAGCCTGAACTGAGAAATCCAAAAGTATTTGTACAATCCAAATTTTACTTTTTAGATAGACAGTCTCTAAGAAAGTGTTTTATCTACAAATGAAACTGCCTAAACTTCCTTGTAAATGGGAATACAAAGAGTAACTCATAAAAAGGAAATTATGTATGCGTCTGTCTTAGTAACTTAACCTGCTAATTAGAAATGCAATTTACTTGTTATTATAATTTTGTATTTTAAAATGTATTTTAGAAAATTTGGAGTTT